TCGGCATTCTGAGTAAGGGGTGAGTTAGTGCAGGGGTCCCCAACCCCCAGCATCGGTCCGCGGGCTGTTAGGAACCGGGCTGCACAGCAAGAGGTGAGCGGCCGGCCAGCGAGTGAAGCTTCATCTGTTTCTCCCCATCTCTCACATTACCACCTGAACCATATCCCCAGCCCCACCCCGCCTTCCGTGGAAAAATTGCCTTCCACGAAACCAGTCCCTGGTGCCAAAAAGGTTGGGGACCACTGGGTTAGTGTGTTTCTGAGGGACAGTTTGACATTAAAAACATGAACCCACTGCCCTGTGGTTGTCCTGTTAGAATAACTGGACAGGTGCACAAAGTCGCCCTTGCAGTGATGCTCATGGTGTGTCTTGAAGCAGGCGTTGTTGAGGGCAGTGCACAGGACAGAGTGCTAATAAGGCACTGATGGAGGGGGGACGCTCATGTGCCACCCCCAAGCCCCTAGCGGATCACAGGAGGTGCCCCTCTACACCTTTATAAATAAGCTTTGAAAAGCTGGTTAATAGAACAGTAGGTCAAGTATGGATTCATTTTTATGTTACCACAGTTACCTTGTGGTATTTCTGTAATCAGCAAACATATATTATTTAAGTTACCAAGAAAACGTTCTTCATAAGTGTGAGCACTCAGCAGTGGACTGCATGGGCTAGTCAGGAGTGGGCAGCCTGGCCTACCTGCTCCGTCCTGCCTGGCCCCCACTCACCAAGTGGAATTACTCACTTGGCGAGATGCTTCATGAGCCACAAATACAAATAAGAATTTTAATGAAAACGACATGATTTGGGGCTTGCAAATCATCCTCTCTCATACACAGTGTCCCGTAAAAGCTCTCAGATGTGAAAACTTGGTTTGTCGCATATTGTATCCACTTCCCTGTGAACTCCATAGCTCCCACAGACCCTTCCAGCTCCTGGTTGACTCTAGACTCCATGTCCCGGCCCTCGGAGTTGGTACCTGATCTCTCTTCCCTACTGGATGATGAATCTTTGAGGAGCACACTCACTGGGGCCCTTTTAGTCAGTGCATGGAGTGTCTCCCCAGCCAACCTGATCAGTGTTCACCAGAGGAGCTCAGCCTTTGGAGGCCACAGCCCTGGGGGATGTGTCATTGTGAGTGGCACCCATCTGCTGCCTGGTCTCTGATGGTAGCTTTTCTCTTCCCTTGTAGAGTGCCCAGTGAAGAATGTGATGGGATCAGTAGCATGTCTGCGGAGAGCGGCCCTGGGACGAGATTGAGAAATCTGCCAGTAATGGGGGATGGACTAGAAACTACCCAAATGTCTACAACGCAGGCCCAGGCCCAACCCCAGCAAGCCAACACAGCCAGCACCAACCCCCCTCCCCCGGAGACTTCCAACCCCAACAAGCCCAAGAGGCAGACCAACCAACTGCAATATCTGCTCAAAGTGGTGCTCAAGACACTATGGAAACACCAGTTTGCGTGGCCTTTCCAGCAGCCTGTGGATGCCGTCAAGCTAAACCTCCCTGTGAGTAACTTGGGCAGGGTCCGGGGCTGCCGTCCTCAGGTCTCCTCCTGTGTTGCTCCTGGTGAGGGTGGACTTGCACGGGAGGGTGGAGATGCCTTTGAAGTCATTGTGAAAAGCGCGGCGAGGTCCAGCTCTGAACTCCACGAGGCCCTTGACTGAGTGGTTTCAGCAGTTCTGATGAATGGGAGTGGGGAAGGAGAGAAAACGTGCTCATTGGCCTAAATAATAACTGGTCTCTTTGATACTAGCATTCTGGGAAATATTCTGTAGAGATGTTGAAACGGGTAGAGGGCTGCTTGCAGCTTGCCTTTCAATTCCATGGGGAGCTAAAGTGGGGTCACTTGGTGGTCCAGGCCCTCCCTCCTCAGATGTGGTCGGCTCGCTTGGCCCA